TTTTTTAATTTGATCTCACAAACTTACATTATTATTAAGTTCGTCAATTAGCGCAAAAATAAATATTAAACATTCGAATAAATATCTTCCATTAATTCGTTATATCGCAAGATGCAAGAAAAAAAATAAAAATGCATTATATAAAACAAATAGATAGATATGTTCTGAGCAGAATAATAATTAAAAATACGTTTCTTTAATTAACTCGATAGATAAATAAAGTTTTTATACAAAATCGATAAAAAAATAGAAAATCGATATTAAAATATTTATCAAAACATTTACGAAGCTAAATTTTATAAAAAACAAACTATTACAAAACAATTAATTAAAATGTGGTAAATGAAAATGGAAGTCATTTATCTTAACGTTAATTCTCTTCAATAAACCCACTTATATTTATATTTTTACCAAAAAATCAACAAAATAATTTCGAAATAAAAACATGAACTGGTTTAGTTCACTCCCTACACAAAATTGTTCTATGATATGAAAGATGGCAAAATTTTGAACTACTATTTGGAAATTCATATAATATCAATAAACTATTCTTTAAAAATGCAATTGATTCCCATACGACTAATTTTAAAAGTGAGTTTACTGATTTTTTTAATTTGATCTCACAAACTTACATTATTATTAAGTTCGTCAATTAGCGCAAAAATAAATATTAAACATTCGAATAAATATCTTCCATTAATTCGTTATATCGCAAGATGCAAGAAAAAAAATAAAAATGCATTATATAAAACAAATAGATAGATATGTTCTGAGCAGAATAATAATTAAAAATACGTTTCTTTAATTAACTCGATAGATAAATAAAGTTTTTATACAAAATCGATAAAAAAATAGAAAATCGATATTAAAATATTTATCAAAACATTTACGAAGCTAAATTTTATAAAAAACAAACTATTACAAAACAATTAATTAAAATGTGGTAAATGAAAATGGAAGTCATTTATCTTAACGTTAATTCTCTTCAATAAACCCACTTATATTTATATTTTTACCAAAAAATCAACAAAATAATTTCGAAATAAAAACATGAACTGGTTTAGTTCACTCCCTACACAAAATTGTTCTATGATATGAAAGATGGCAAAATTTTGAACTACTATTTGGAAATTCATATAATATCAATAAACTATTCTTTAAAAATGCAATTGATTCCCATACGACTAATTTTAAAAGTGAGTTTACTGATTTTTTTAATTTGATCTCACAAACTTACATTATTATTAAGTTCGTCAATTAGCGCAAAAATAAATATTAAACATTCGAATAAATATCTTCCATTAATTCGTTATATCGCAGGATGCAAGAAAAAAAATAAAAATACATTATATCAAACGAGTAGATAGATATGTTTTGAGTAGAATAATAAACTATTCTTTAAAAATGCAATTGATTCCCATACGACTAATTTTAAAAGTGAGTTTACTGATTTTTTTAACTTGATCTCACAAACTTACATTATTATTAAGTTCGTCAATCAGCGCAAAAATAAATATTAAACATTCGAATAAATATCTTCCATTAATTCGTTATATCGCAAGATGCAAGAAAAAAAATAAAAATGCATTATATCAAACGAGTAGATAGATATGTTTTGAGTAGAATAATAATTTAAAATAAGTTTCTTTAATTATTTGAATAGATAAGTAAATTTTCTATAAAAAATAGAAAATCGAAAGCAAAATATTTATCAAAATATTCATGAAGCTAAACCTTATAAAAAATTATACAAATTTAATAAAAAATTATAAAATCGAAATCAAAACATTTATGAAGCTAAATCTTGTAAAAAAGACTATTATAAAACAATTAATTAAAATGTGGTAAAATGAAAATGGAAGCTATTTATCTTAATGTTAATTCACTTCAATAAACCCACTTATGCTTATATTTTTACAAAAAATCAATAAAATAATTTCCAACTAAGAAGATGAACTGGTTTTATGCACTCCCTATACAAAATTGACCATGATATGGAAGACGGTAGGATTTGGACTATCAGAACGTAGCATCCCGGTTGAGCTGTAATAACCAAAACACAATCCCAATAATTTCCAACATTGATAAATAAAAGAACTTACCATTTCTTCTTAGTACGTATCCGAATCGTCCATTTTTCTGTGGATAATTTGCACAAGATCTACTCGTTTTCATTCAAAATTCTGAAACAAAGAAACCAACAATCACGCAAGAATTTTGGAAAAAGTAATAAAGAAGTCATTGATTCATGACTGATAAAAATGTTATGGAAAATATGAATTTGCTACATCTCAATTAAAATTCAAGTTGCACTTAAAATCTACTTTCTAGATAAAAAAAGCTATACATGAATAATTTGGAAAGGTGCAATCCTACAGATAACTTACTGCAGACCGATCAACTTAGATCAATACCATGTTAAAAATTTCGCAAATGTAGCAATGTACTCATCAAGTTTTATCAGCGTAAAATAAGTAAACGTCAGGGTAGCAAGAGATGATGTCGGTTGTTTCGAAATTGGTAAAAGTTAAAATTCTTCGCTGACAGAACGTAGCATCCTGGTTGAGCTGTAACAACCAAAACACAATCTCTATAATTTCCAACATTAATATCTAAAATTTAAAAGAACTTACCATTTCTTCTTAGTGCGTATCCAAATCGTTGATTTTTCTGTGAATTCTTTNTACTCGTATTCTTCATCACTCCTCGGCCAGGAAGTGATATTTTCGTGGATAAATAATTTAGCAATCATGTTCATCGAGAGATAAATTGCAGAAACCTTCGATTTGAACATTATAATTTCTTTTTTGCATCACCACTAAATAAAATTGCCGCATAATAAAGCAAACCGTCTTGGATTAGGTGGAAGTTTAATGCATACGATTTTAAATTTTTACGGTTTAATATCGGATTAATTCAGTTTATGTACCAGAATTTTCAATTAGGATTAGAACGAATAACTGCATCCATAACTGCAGATGATCTACAGGAGTTTTAATATCTACATCTTCGTCCATCACATTCGCAAAGTTAAATTGTTTAAAATCCGCACATTCTGATAAGGATATTCAGCGGATATTTGTTGTGCTCCAGTGCTACAATCCGAAAGTGAAATTTATATTGAGAATCAGTTATCAGTAGGCTAGGCGGCGATTTCAAGAAATAATTTCCCAGAGATAAATAAATAAAACAAATAAAAAAGAAGGAAAAGAATTCTACGAAAAATTTCCAAATTCAAATTAGAACGTAAAGAACAGGTAATCATACAAAGACTCCGAATAGGTCATTCTTATCTAACTCATGTACAATTAGTTAAAAATGAACTCTTTCCGATATGTACTTTTAGGTTTTGTGGTGGTAACAATGCACTTTGCAGAAATAAAATAAACCAAAAGAAACGCAATGAAAACGTATCAAATTTAATTAATAATAACTGAAGAAAGAAGTGGAATAGTTGAACAACAGATCGGAAGTGTTAGTAGTTTTGAAAATAAATTTTAGCGAAGGCTAAAAGGGTAGAGCTAGAAGTATTTTATCTAAAGTAGAGATCGAATTAGAAGAAAATGAACTTGTAAAATATGATTAAACAAAAAACTAAAAAACAAATTTTGGCCCAATGTACCAATAAACCCAATATTAAAATGCAATTAAAAAGCAACAAGAATCATACACCTCATGCAATTAGTAAGCGAAATTAAAATGTTAAGGGATTCGTGGAAAGTACAAGTAATAAAGTAATTTGTAGATAGAATAATATAAAGGTACAGATACAAAAGGTTTTAAGAAGTTACATTTGAAAGAATATTTACATAATGACAATAGGAAATACTGTAATGTCTATGTTATCATTTCGTCCTAGTTCAATGTTGTATAATCTTCAACATTTCATGCTGTTAAACATTCTGAAAAGTTGATAACAATCCAGCTGGCTAGAAAAACGAACGAGGATGAAGATAACACACGAACAGATTTGTGTCGAAGTTGACCTTTCCTTTTGATAGGAAATAGATAGTTTGAACATATTGTTTTCATGTTGTTCTCGAATTTAGTGCCGCGAAGAC